GGGGGGAGGGAGGGAGGAAGAAAGGAAGAAAGGTTGATTGGTTTATATTTTTTACAAGGCTTAAAGTATGCCAACTGAAAAACGACTGGAAAAAGCTGATTGTGTTATTTACTTACCAATAAACAATATAGGAAAGGTGATGAATAAGAGGAACACATGAGGCACCAAATTGAGGGCATCCAGAAAACAGAGATTCCTTACTAATCCATCGCTCATGTTATAAGCAGAAATGTTGTCATTGCCGCAAAATGCAATCTTCATTGATTCCTCGGGGCACTGTTGCAAGGCAAAACAGAGCAAAACTTTATAACACAATCGCAGAGAAAGATTCACCGTGAAATCACACTGCGGGTCCAGCATTGTATTTCACGTTGTATCTGGTGCGTATACATCCCATCTTTCCTTCGCGGTACTCCAGAGAGAGTTCCGTGTACAAGTAAGTCCTTGGCTAATGACCACAATTCAGTCCAAAATTCCTGTTGCTAAGCGAGACAATTATTAAGTGAGTTTTGCCCCATTTTATGATCTTTCTTACCAGAGTTGTTAAGTGAATCACTGCGCCGGTTAATTTAGTCACATGATTGTTAAGGGAATCTGGCTTCCCCATTGGCTTTGCTTGTCAGAAGGTCGCAAAAGGGGATCATATGACCCCAGGATACAGCAACCATCATAAATAAGAGTCAGTTTCCAACTGTGTGAATTTTGATCATGTGACTATGGGGATGTGTGATGACCCGGGGTGGTGGCACAAAGGCAACACAGTCAGATAATCAGTAGGGGTCCCTTTATTATCTCCAACTTTGCCCCCAATGTCCAGGTTACCTTCCGGCTGGAGAAAAACTCTCCTAGGAACAGCCTTTGACTGCAGAAAATTAAGTCCAAAACATGGTCAACACAAACTGTAACTTAAAGTCCAATCAAGCCAAACTGAAGTAATTAGTTTGGCGGGGCAGGGGCAAGAATTCCAGACTTAAAGATACGGCAAAACTCACACGGTTGGGAAGATGCCAGGAACACAGATAAGCAACGATAACACAAGATAAAGTCACATTTGCTCTCAGCAGCCTGCCACACGCAGCCTGCTTTTCTTATAAACTGTCTTCCCAGGTGTGCCTAATGAAGGGAATCAGGGCCCTTTTCTACCCCGTAAGCCACACAACCCACGTTGCTCTCTTCTCCGTTCCTCCCTGCATGCCCTAGGATGAAGAAGGGGTGGGCCTGGGTCTTCCTCTGAACTCTCTCTCCCTTGTTCTACCTCTTCCCTGCTCTACCCAGCCAGATTTTGCCCTTCCCCAGTTTCCCCACAGCTAATGGAGCCACACTCCCACTCCCTGTCAGCTGTTCATCTTCCTCCTCGGATTCAGACTCCGACAGGGCCATGACAGGATGCTACAACAGTCACAAGCATGAAGAATGGTCCTAAGTCACATTTTTCAGTGCCGTGTAACTTCAAATGATCACTAAATGAATGGCTGTATCTCAAGGACTACCTGTACCTGTCTTCCTGTTCTGTAAGATAGAAGAGGCCGAGTGACACAGGTAGCCCTCAACTTACAACTGGTCATTTAGCAACTGTTCAAAGTTACAATTGGATCCCCCGAGAAGCACTTACGACCCAGTTCCAAAGTTCTGACAGGCAAGCTTCTCACCTCCGTCCAAGTAACCGAGGCAACTGGACTTGTTAGCTGGCCCACATTTATGGTGGTTTGCAGTCATCCAAGGTCACATGACCAAGATGTATAATGTTTTTGGTGGAAACCAGTGTTTCCAGCAAAAATACCCCATAGCGAACAAGGGGTTTGCTCAATGAAGTTAAGGTAAAGGTAAAGGTTCCCTTCGCCCATACATGCTAGTCGTTTCTGGCTCTAAGGAGCAGTGCTCATCTCTGTTTCAAAGCTGAAGAGCCAGCGCTGTCCGAAGACGTCTCTGTGGTCATGTGGCCGGCATGACTAAACCCCGAAGGCGCATGGAACGCTGTTACCTTCCCACCAAAGTGGTCCCTATTTTTCTACTTGCATTTTTAAGTGCTTTCGAACTTCTAGGTTGGCAGAAGCTGGGACAAGTAACAGAAGCTCACTCCGTTACGTGGTGCTAGGGATTCGAACCGCCGAACTGCCAACCTTTCTGATCGACAAGCTCAGCGTCTTAGCCACTGAGCCACGGTGTCCCTTTCATGTCAATGAACAGTTCTACAAAACCATTGTAATCCCAACATTGGGCCAAATATAGTCAATTACCGAGCGATGCACAAAAAAATTCCTTGAGAATAGATTAACGCAGACCAAGGAAAAGGTTCAGAACCATGAGCTTCATATAAGGCCCTCAAACAGGGTAGGAAGAAGACCCCATAAATGAGTTTGTGAAAGCCCAATGGGAAAAACTAATAATTTTATTCAGATTAGAGTTAAGCAAAATAAGGAGGAAGTCTTTTTCCAATAATTAAATCTGAAACTAGTCGTGACTGAGATTTGCATGCATACATGAACCATCCGCGGGCCTTTGAAGTAAAGAGCAAGTTCAAAAATTGACAGTTTCCAATCTGTTACGTGAAATGGTTCAAGTAGTTTTCTGTTTTTAAATTGTCGCTCCCCTCTAAGTTGCTCACAACCCTCTGGGATATCTTGACCCACAATTTGACAATCCTGCCTTAATGTACTATGGAAGCCCAGCCCATTGTAGCTCATCCAATAAGCCATGGTTAAGAGAAGCGTGGCTTAACCCATTGTAGTAAATTAAATCTGTGCCATGTAACCAATTTTTTTTAAACCATCTACTTTAATCACATGCATTTTGCTTGATAAAAGCTCTAAACTCTTTTGCAACCACAGAGATAATTATTTAAAAAATAAAATAAGAGAGTTAATTTGATATTTCTGAACAGCCTAGTGATAAGTTAAGACCATATTCTCATATATACTTAGAGAAGGAAATACAACGTAGCATAATGGAAATTATTTTTATGGAAAGACCCTTCACAGTTAAATTTTACAACAAATAAATATCTTGAATATGATATATCACCACTTCCTTATTTAATTTCCTGATGTCAGTGGTTTATTTTGTGCTATTGATTTACTTTCTTCAATCCATCTCTACAAAACCCTCCTTAACAGTGGCAGCTTAAGTAATATTTCAAAGTTTAATAAGGCATTTCCTACATAAATAATTCCACATACTTGTTGTTGTGAGCCATTCAGAGTATATTGGGTGGCCCTATCAATCTTTTAAATAAATTAAATAAATGTTACATTCCACTTGCTCTTTTTATTCTGTTCCTTTAAAAAAAAAACTTATGTGGATTATTTATATTTGAAAGTTCTCTACAATATTCCAGGCACAAGTATGATAAACTATTCTTATCTGTTCCACCAGAAAGTATGGGTGTTTAGAATTTACTTTCAATGGACTGGAGAGCTGAATATTTATTTATTTGTTTGTTTATTAAATTTATTTGCCACCTATCTCACAATGAGGCTACAGTAGGCAGCTTGCAATAAAAAGGAAGAAATGAAAAGTGTGTAAACAGAACAGAAGATAATAGAACAATAAAATAAACATTGAAAAAGAACATAGTGGAAATATACCAATATGATGTACACTAATTATACCTATAATCAAATGGACAATTCATTCTTTCCTCAGATTTTTCAGCTGCTTGAATCATATTCCTCAGGCATAAATGATGGAGGTCATCATCCTGCCCCCAAAATAGGGTTTCTTTCCTTATTCTGCCATGATGAAGTTAAATATGTATCAAAGACATTTCATGGCATTGCAATCCTATCAATAGACACAAAGGAGTATCTCAATAGGCATTACTTTGAAGTAAACGTAGTTAAGGTTGGCTGTAGTTTCTTTAACACGTCTGTGCTGCACGCCTATATGTAGAAGCACCCAAATACACCCATAAACAAAGACAGAAACACATTTACACATTTGTCAGGGACTTGCTCAGAAAACAAAAATTGCTCAGGGGTACGGTAGCTTTAATCTCAAATGAAACAGTTGCAACTCTTTCTTAGTCCGTTTTAACTTTTCCAAAGTTACTTGCACAATGCTTCGACAATATACCGCCTTCCGATTTTATATCAGGACTTGACATGCCAAGAAAGAAAATTTAGGATGGTGACTTGGCAGACAAAGGGAGGGGGAAAAAACCAACAGATCGTACCACCATTACTATTTTCCCCAACTAGCAAAGAAGGATTACGTTCTTCTTAAGAACTGGCAAAGGCATTTTTAAAGCATTTTGCAGTCAAACTCTGAAGAAGTAGAGAGAGGGCGGGAGAGAAAAACTTGGCTTCAGAAGATAGGAGGGAAAGGAGAGAAAGATTGAATAAGGACGGACTTTTGAAGCTCAGAGAAGACTGCGAGAGTTCCCTTACCTTCATAACACACACACACACTCTGGCACCAAACCCGGTTCTCCCAGCGTGGCCAATATCATTCAGAAGGCAGAGGCTGCTCTACCAGAAGAAGGGGACTCAGATTATTTTTAGACAGGTGATGAGAGGATCAGCTGCTGCCTCCTATCGGGTTTCTGGAGCATACAGATTCCTCTTCTTATTTATTTATTTTTCATCCAGAAAATCCAAAGAACAGGAAACTGGGAAGGAGTTTCTCTGAAGAGGGATGTATTTAAATGATTGTTTTGTTTTTAAAAATAAATTATCTTGTTTCTTCACTAAAATGTACTTGGGGCAATATAAACAAATTTTCAAGAGCTCCGTTCCATGGACGGAGGTGGGATCTCCTTCCTTTTTTGAGATTTTCAGCTAATCTTGATAAGGGGGAAAAAAATCAAAATGTTGATTTTTGGTTAAAGGCAGAAGATCACTGCAAATGTAGCGGGTACGGGAAGTTGCATCGTCTCTTGTTGGCTGAGAAGTAAAGCCCCAACCCGTTTGCTTTCTTTCCCAAAATTAAAAATCAAGCTACACTCCCCCCCACCCTTATAGTTAATTGTGTCTGATTCTCGAAGGCTGCCTGGACGAGTCCTTGCAGTTTACTTGGCGAGGTTTTTCAGAAGTGATTTGCCATTGCCTCTTTCCCTAGGGCTGAAAGAAAGTGACTGGCACAAAGTCATCCAGGTGACTTTGTGCTCAGGGCAGGACTAGAACTCACAGTCTGCCTTTCACAGAGAGGAGGGAGGGGGTCAAGCAATTTTCCAAAGCACCCGGAGGCCAGACAAGGGATAATGGATGGAAATTGAACAAGGAAAGGTTCAACCTGGAAATAAGGAGAAATTTTATGACAGTGAAAACAAC